CAAAGAGACAGACAAACCAGAATGACACTTTGTTTCACAGTATTATTATTTCTTTCAGTGTTTTACAAAAAATATTTACACTGAATCAAAGGATAAAAATAAAAAACAAAGACACATTGAAATCATTCAGTTTCTCAGTCTTCTTAACGCCTCCTCCATTGTGCCTTTAAGGTACAAGGCTCGCCACGTTGATGAAGTTGAGCGCGAGCTGCCCCCATCCCCGTATGCCATAACAGCCCACTTGCACGCAATGGGAAAGAGGCAGAGTGAAGGAAGAGGTGTCAAACACAAGGGAGAGAGGAAAAGAAAAGGAAAATCGATAGGCAGAGGAAGAAAAAAATAAAATAAAACAAGGGTGACACAAACATCTTCTTTCTTTTACTGCATTCTTCTTTCTTTAACAGTTTTGCAGTTTTGGTGAAGAGTCTACCACGTCCATTTTTCAGCGCACTTGCACTTCCTTCTTCATTTTTTATTCTCATTTTCACCCTTTGGACTTTTTCTTTGAGGGTGTTAGGGTGCAGGGTACAAACGAAGTAAAACGACACAAACTTATGTTCTTCTTTTACTGCAGTCTTCACTGTTTTGCAGTTTTAGTGAAGGGTTTCGCACCTTTGCACATTCTTGTACACTCTTTTCAGCGCACTTGCACATTTTTGTCAGGGTGCAAGGTACATCTAAGTAAGACCCTCACGACAGATAGGACAACTATCATAAGGATGCGGGCGATGGTAGCATCCCTCCCGCTGATCTATAGGACGAAAACCATTCAGGTAAGCAACTTCGTCACAGCAGGAACCAGGACGGCTAGCATCGACCATACCTCTGAAGCATGCACGGCAGAGGGCATGCCGGTTGCAGGCCATGACCATTGTGGGGCGTTCACCATCACAGTTAAGTGCACATTCGCTATAGCGCCCAAAGGCACAGATGGGACATACTGCATCTGGATGCAGAGGATGTTCACAATCCGGATACAGGTGGCATCCCTGCCGACAGCGGGCCCGAAAAATGATATGGTTGTAGTGATGTCGACAAAGTCGATGCTTTCCACAACCAAGTGTAACTGTGTCAGTGATCTCACAAAGACGGAGGTCACAAGGTGTTAGTGCAGCATGCGGGGGAATGAAGACTAAAGCAGGCATGGTGACAGACATGGAGGTAGGCACGGAGACAAACACAGAAACAGGCATGGAGACAAACACAAAAACGGGCATGGAGACAGGTGTGGAGGCAGGCAAAGAGACAGGTGCAGAGGCGGGGACTGAAGTACACGAGGTACCTATAGGGTCAGTAATCTGGAAGGAGACAGACATAGAAACAGGCACAAAGACAGGTACGGAGGTAGGCACAGAGATAGGCGTAGAGGTGGGCATGGAAGTACACGAGGTACCCATAGGGTCAATGACCTGGAGCAGTTGCAGGTTAGGGTAATTACGCACGAGATCACAGATGGCAGTAATAGTTTGCACCATAGCACCGCCATTCCATAATTCCCAAGAACCAGAGGCACGAACAAGAGCGGTGTAGTGGCCAGGAGTATGTAGAATATAGGCACAAACATGCGAACAGTGGTCCGGGTCGCCACCCGAAGGGGCACGCTGCATATCAAGTCAGCGCCTTATCAAAGCAGTCTCCAAAACAGAGATATTGAATCCCCCATGTCGAGTGTAGTTACTATCCTGTGGGGGATGCAGAGTTGGGTTATCACCATATAACTCACGTTCCTGAGCATCAAGATCGGAAGCAATGAGCAAGAAATCAGAGTGAGTATATGGTTCCCGACGAGAGGCTTGTAGGCAGATGTTAGTAGCAGCGAGGCCACACAGATTCGGTGGAGGCCGGTCAGGCGGATTTTCTACAGAATCTCCTACAGTCCCCTTGCCAAGTTCATCCTCAGATGGTCCCTCGCCCTCATCCCTCCCGTTTTGTGTTTGCCGCGTTGCAGAAAGGTCTGCGGTCGAAGAGCGTTGCAGGCGTGGTAAGGATGCTTGGGGCGACAAAAGACGGGGACGGGATGTTGGGGAGGGCCGTGGTGGGGAGAATGAAAGGGTT